TCTAAACATTAATATTTATGTGTGGGGGGGGGGCGCAAACATCTAATTTTGCCCGAGGCGCAAAATAACGTAGCGCCGGTCCTGAGCCCGAGCCTCGCCGTGTCGTAGATCCGAGAGAGCGCAGCGAGAAAACTGGTCTTTGAAAGTAGCGACACGAGGATATGGCGATATAATATAATAATATCTTTGTAGAAAAGACTGTAAATGATTAAATAGAAATCATTTTTGGGCAATGATAGAAGATATAAGGGATTGTACCTTAGACAGGAATAAATAATTCAATTAAAAATTTAATATAATATTGCCCAACACTTATTAACTCCTTATCCCAGTGTTTGCCAACTGGTGGGGATAATGTCAGGGCAGCGTTTGCCTTCTCGAAAGGCGCTCGGCGTGCGATCGAAGGGTGGTGAGGGGCGGGGAGGGGAGAGGGATCGGCAGCCTTGTCAGTGGGCCATTGCCTGTGTTTCAGGCAACATTAAAGCCCATTTACGCCCGTTAATTTTCTTTCGATTTGGGATGTTTCTTTTTGTATGTACCATAATAATGGCAATGTGTTCAGTGTGTTCGAAAGAACTACAGTATGTTAAAAATTTCAACCTACAGAGGCATTACGAAGTGAGATGAAAATAATTTCTGAGATTGACAGATAGCCTGCAATCATGAGATGAGTAAAGGATTTTGCTGATACGAGATTAAGGAAAGGTACCGAAAATCACGAGGATTTAAACATTCTCAAACAAAACATAAAGCCTGGAAAACCATTCTCCTACGAGACCCGCCCTGAGTTTCTGTCATAACAAAAACGCATTGGCATCTTTTCATATTCATTGGTGCACAGTGATGCCTGATGATGCACAATGATCTCGGAGCTGAGCCTTGACTAATTATAATGGTAATGCTAGTTTGTTTTCTTACCTGACGCAACTTGTACAGTTCAATTTTAGTTCAAATGAAACCATGAAACGAATCGTATGGTGCAGTGTTTTTCTATACCTTTAGCAATCCAATAACAATCGAAGATTCAACAGTTTCTATTTGTTAACATTAATTATTGTTTCAAGACCAACTAAAATTGTTTTATAGTTATAATTGTTAAATATTGTATTATATAAAATGTTATTGTACTAAAATGTTAAAACTGTCTACTCCAAATTTCACAAATCCACGTCTAATCGCACAAACTGAAGGAAAATTTGACCTTGATGTCTCAGATTTTAAAACTTGTTTCTGTGAAGAGTATAAGCAAAAGTATGGAACCGGTTTTTCCCCAAATTTTGTTTTTCAAGATTATATTAATTTAAACATTTTCTATAAAATGCTCGCATCGCTAAAGGGATTCATTTTTAACTCATGTTAAAATTGTAACCGAAATTTAATATTTTGCAACTTTAAGGAACAAAACATGCCTTTTTATTTTATGTACGTATTAAATTCATTAAATATCTTCAAAATCATTTTTGATCTATTTCATTTTTTTTATTTATTTCCAAAAATCGATAGTTTAAAAATTTGAAAAATACCATTGTAATCTCTAAAACGTTCTACATAAGTGTGGTAAGTTACAAAGAGGGACACCAACATGAATCTGAGAAATTAAATACAATAGAAATGTCTACTCGCTGTTTTGCTGCTGCGTCTACTAAAGTGTCACCCCTCAAACACATGCCAATCAGTATAGATTTATTTACTATCAATATACTTTCAGAGAGCAGTAAACTGAATTATTCCTTCACATCTTACTATGTACTTGATTTAAACATGTGACCTTCATAGCCGATTAAATTCAAAATGAAAAAGTGTCAAAGCGATTCATTTGATTAAACGGACTGAATATTTATACAAATAAGAGTATGTGATACAAGTAATTAAATTTTACTCCTTTTACTTCACTTTACAGAGAATATGGTTAGTTGACCTTTTCATGAAGACATTTTTAAAAATATTATTTATTCAACTTGTTTAACATACAAAAATGTCTTTCAGGAACGTGAACAATTACAATATTATTACAATGAAAAAAAAAAAGAACTAATAACATTGATATATAATTACTTCATAAACAAATGAAACTATTATTTTCTTTGTACCTTCTACTGTTTTTTTTATTATATTATTGTTGCAATAGTCCACTTTTCAAATATTCAGCATTGCAAAAAATAGTAAAGGTAATGTTCTTCCACATTATCATCAACCCACTTAAATAACTTCTTGGGTAAATTTATAAGTTCCTGTCAGAATTGAAGGCTAGCTTTTATTAAGAATTTTATAGTTTCCCCCCTCCTACATTGCAAGGTCCTTTTCCATAAACTTGCGAAGTGAAGAAAAACCATTCAGTACTCACATTGAAGAAATATTTTTGGAAGCATAAATTCACATAGTTTTGTAATATTAGGCACTACCCCATCCAAAAAATATGTCTGTTAACACTGTCATAAACATACTTCAGAAGTGTTATGAGATTACACTGGCAATGGTGAATTGAATTTGTGTCGTGTTTCAGGCATCAAGGAGATAGATTTTTTATTTATAAGTTCTTTGTTTTCTCTGAAGTATAGCACAAACGAACTTTTTCTGAAGCATAGCACACAGATGCCAAGGCATTAATTGACAGCAGTCATTGAATTACATCTTCAAGTATGAAAGAATAATTTTCTAACAAAATCACACTAGACAATGAAAATTGCTAGCATCAAATTTTATTTTTGTTTCATGAATAGAGGAATTGGTAAACAATGAGTGAAGACAGTAGAAGAAACACAAGACAAATTTACTTGGCCAGTTTCTTTATTACTCATATTAGGTGATACGTTAGTGTGACCAAGAGCAGCAGTGCTAAGATTGATTGATATTAATAAAAATGTATTATGCCCAAAAAATCGTCCTTCAAACCAATTCTAAAAATAACATCAAGTAAGGTAGTTTTATTCTCACTGAATAATTTTTAAATTTTCTTTCAAAACCGTAAATAGGTGAGAGATAAAAAAAATGTAACTTAATCAAACAAAGTTTAGAGAAAAATGGCGTTTCAGTCATCTATTAAAAACATTGAGCAGTATCCCAACCAAAGTTTAAAAGAAAATTTGGAGTTGTTTTTGAGGAAGTTTAATTTTTGTTATTTTTTAATATTGTACATATGTCATTCAATATTGCGTGAAAACTACAAAAATTTTCAAAAATATCTACATAACATTAGTCAAAACCTGGTGCCCCCAAAAATTAACAATTATTTTTCAAAATCGCAGAACTCAAGGGTGACCAGATCGACAGCGGCTTATTCATTGTGGAAAAAATCCTATGTATAGTTAAGGCGCCATTGTTGGTCACAGGCAGATGGACGGACAAACTGTCGACCGTTTTGGGAGAAACAACAACAACAACAACAACAACAACAACAACACTTTCTCGGTATCAGTAGACCCCAAATTTTCCGTTAAAGTTCTGTTGAAATTTCGTAATCAATTTTCCGCAGCATTACATAACTTTCTCTGTACTACGTAAATTACTCCATATATACGTACGTATAAGAGAAAGTAAAAAATACCCTAATGAAGCCTAATTTCAAAATTGCCGTAATGATGCCTGCTAATTTCTTCAACAAACATTACTAGGAAGCATGAAAGAAGCTTAAAGGAAATACTGCGTATCTAAAACTCCAAGTCTTAAGTGAATCTGTTGTTTTTAAAAGTCTGTAAGCCTCTTTTGGATTTGCACTTTTTGTGAGAAAATAGAAGCTGCAGATTAGATGCATCATTTCATGTTAAAATCCCAAACATTTTAGTTTGGTTTTGAAACTCTGTAAGTCATTGACTTGCAAGGTATGTATGACGTATGAATGTATCAGTGTGTATGACGGATATTACTGACAGAGATTGGTTAAAAGGGGTGTTCAATACGGAAATACGGATATGTTATATCAGAGAAAAATATATTTTAAGCAACTGTTTCTCTCATATGAATAATGTTTGATGTTATGCACATCGTCATTTCATCTACAATATTGTAATAAATGTGCCAAATTACTAACTGAACCTGCAATGTGTATTTATTTAGTACATGTTTTGTGTTAAAAATTCCTGAATAGCGCGGCGGCGAGGGTGTAACGGTTAACGTATTGGACTGTTATACCCAAGTACGCAGATTGGAACACGATCGAAGCCGTGGATTTTTAGGGCAAAAAAATCCTTCGTACGTTCTCCTTCGGAGGGGAAGTAAAGCAGGCTGTCCCATGTTAGTAGATTTACTGCATGTAAAAGATCCTGTAGCCAAATGAAGCCTTTGAGCTAAATTCAAATCGCCTGTTACGTCGCCTAAGAATTACCCGCCTTCTCCGCTAGTTGGTGAAAAGACCGTAGCGAAATTTTTCGTGGTCAGAGGGAAGAGCAGGCCTCATGACCTGAATCTTGCCACTTAAAATAGGCAACAATTCAATTCAATTCGTTTTTAAAATCCCATAAGTCATTAACTTTTAAATAAGTCCAACTATTAAATTACTATTGATACAAGTAAATTTAATGTCTTCATTACATTCTCAATCAGGATTTATGCATCAGAAAAGAAAGAAAGAAAAAAAAAGCAGAGAAAAGTTCACTATGTACTTAACCATTACATTTTTCTTGTTTTTTTTAAACAACTGATTCAATTATTATTATTTTTTGGGATAATATTTTACAGATATAATGAACAAGAAAGCAGTACAAGCTTGGGAACTTTACTTAAAAATGGAAACTTCTTCAGAGTCCTTCAGTTTGTTGCAGCTGATTGCAAATGACTGTTATAAGATGGGTCAGTTTTGGTTTGCTGCAAAGGCTTTTGATATGTTAGAGCGCCTGGACCCAAACCCTGAATACTGGGAGGGCAAAAGAGGAGCATGTGTAGGTGTTTTTCAGCATATAGTAGCAGGGCAAGAACCTAAGTAAGTTTAACAAAATTTGCTTTTAAATTCCATGAATCATACTATACTCAAGTCTGATTTTTCTTTCTTTTTTCCCTTTTTCCAGAGATCGATTGAAAGATGTGATTCAACTCCTTAGAAATACTGCCAATTCGCAAGTGGAACAGATTATAAGAATAATGAAGAGATGGGCTAAAGATAATCGTATCAATATTTAAAAGAAATGCACAAAAGGATTTGTTCTGAAATGTTACTGAAACTACTGTTTCACCTGCAAATTAACACAATTACATATAATTTACTTAGAAACGCAGGTCAGTGTAATGAAGAAATATAAGTAATGAATTGGAGATAAGAATTCAATTGTGCATTTTATGTTCTAACAAGATTGTGACATTGTGACATTAGTTTTCTTTGTGGATTCCAGTCGTGTTATGTATTATGATATATTATATATTATATATTATGATCTCATACATAATGGGTTCATTTTCCAGCTATTGAAAATGAAAATACTGAGAGTATTTAATAGTTGAAGTCATGACATTGATTTGAGTTTGTAAGATACATTGTAATGAAGAAATACATTTTTGAATCAACTCATCATCATCAGTCTCAGAAAAAATTAGTATTAGACATTGTGAACAAACATCTCGTATTGAGGTGTAAAATTGGTGGTTCAATGCCAGTCACTTCAGTGAGTGAGTGATTGTATCTGGTAATTCATATTTTGTGGATTGAAACTGCTGCTAGAACTTACAGTGAATGTATTTATAAGTGCAGCCTATAGGTTCTGTAGGGACTGACAGGACCATGTCCAGGGGCTCCTTAATAAAAATAAATTTCAAATTATTAAATTAGGAATTCTTGCCTGCAAAAAAAATTGTGATCAAATAAATTATATGCTGAGAGATACTTTAACAAGTTATTGTATACATGCCTAATATGATTGCTTAACACGACCTCTTGCAGAAATCGCTGGCAATAATTCAGTGTTGGCTGTTGCCTTTGATGAACCAGGCGCTGATCCACGGGAAGATAAATACCCCCCCCCCCTAAAATTTTTCATTAACTTTTATTTTTAACCTATCATGAAACTTTTAAGCAAAAATATTTTCCGATAATCATTATAATGAATAAAAAATCTTATTGCAGCATGAGCCTAATGTGTAGCCTGCATATTACTAATTTTATAAAATCTGTAATATGACAAATTTGGCCAAAACATTTTGAATTTTCCCTCCCAAAAACTTGTCTCTGACTTTGCCCCTCCATGAGCCTATGTCAAATTTTAAATATACATTTAAAATAACTGAAAAAGATATAAAAAATTTACTTGTTTACTCATTTAAATGAGTAAAATATTGAAGGTAAGTAGATCTTCGTCAGTATTACGTAAAAGATCAACTACACCAATATATAATTATTCTACTGTATTAAAAATTTAGAAAATTATATACAATGACAAGCACCCATTAACTCAACAAACATTACTATTTAACCTAATCATATTCTCAGTAGAATTGAAGTTAAAAGTGCATTTAAATTAAATTTTGATGCTGAAGATTCTATTGGATCATCTGGTTTTCAAAATCAAATTGTTAAAAAAGCAAACCTAGTATTGGAAATAATATTACTATATTCATTCCCTTTGATACAGTTGATGTTTATTTTAATTGTGCTGATGGGATGATTATATAAGAAAATGAAGAATTTTATAGAGAAACATATTGTAACATTGTTTAAACCTCACTCAGTTACCAAATCCTGATTATTTAAGAACCATTTTATCCATTATTTGTACCTATTTACAAAAAATTATTTACTCAACAACTGAATTAATTCCATTAGATGTTGCTGGTATTCTAATCCTAAACTCGAAACAAAAGATGAAGGTTTTTATCCATTGAGATTATTGGGAAGATTTTTTTAAGATTTTAAGGAAATTACTTGGGAAGGTGGTTTTAGGATTTCATTTACTTGATCTCCTACTATGAATGATGTTTTATACTGATGGTCATCAAAAAAACCAGATGCATTAGATTCTGTAACATTACCAAGAGAAGGAAAAATAGTCATTCAAAATTTCAAAATTAATGTACGAATTGCATATTATGAATCTTCTTATGCTATGGAATTTAAAGCTAATCTAATAAAAAATGCTATCTTTACAATTTTATTTTATAATTTACAAACATTTGAATTATCTGGAATTGCTGGAAAAAGGAATTGTAGTATTGCAAACAAACAGACTTGATAATCAAGAAAATGATCCAAGTGAATTTAATTATTGAAATCTATAGAATATTTCACTCAAATGGTCGAAAGGAACAATTTCCATGAGAATCTTGGAATATAACACCACTAATTCTTTTTAAAAAGGCATATCATTCATTTACACAATTCAAGAGAATAATGAATAATAATAAAAATTTAGAAATTGTGATATCACCACTTCTAATGTTTACAATATATCTGATTTATTTGATAAATACGTACATTAGAAAAAATGTTGATGCTGCACAAAAAACATCTATGAAACTATGTTCTACATTTCATAATACTATTACTAATAACACACTTGGATACGTTATCATGTATGGTAAAAAGAGTTTAACATATACCTTCCAACATAGTACCATTCAAGAAAATTTTGTTTGTAATATAATATAATTTTTTTAATGTAATATAATGAATTTAGTTGGATAAAAAAGGATGTTGGTATCAATGTATACATGGTTTTATGAAATGCCTGACTAGAATATTTCAAGCTATAAAAGTGGTTGAAATCACTAAATTATGACCTATAAAATTAAGTTTAGATATACTGTATAATTATTGTAATTTTATATCTCTAATATTAAGTTTAGGTGCACTGTATATATTTTGTCCTATGATATTAAGGTTAAATACGCTGATTCATTGATAACTAGGTTATTAATCGCTAATAGATGATGTTATCGAATGACAAAGACACATGTTGTCCAGGGAGAAACAGATATTGCACTTGAAATAATGTGTAAAATGATGAAAACACCTGCAGAGAGAGAAACGAAATGTCACACTTGAGATAACTTGTTATCAATGCACTTGTAACATGTTATGTGCTTCAATGCTCTACATATATGAACCGGGTAAAAAATGAAAATATTTTAGAATAATATAAAGGATTTATGACAGGATATTGAATTAAGCTTCTTACATGATTGATTGTGTGAAATGTATGAAATAGAAAAATTTACTAATATGTGATCTAAGAGTTCTAAAATTATTAATATTTCAAACTTGAGAAAACATATTCTAATGTTGAATTTGTTTAATATATGTTAAAATAATTTTTCTGTTATATGTGTTAAATGTATGAGATGTTCAAAATGATATGTTTTGTAATATGTGGTATAGGTTTCTAAAATAGACCTCAACACGTAAAATTGCAAAAATGGGGATATTTTGGGATAAACTTAAAAATTTTAATAAATCCAAGTTTTTAATACAATTTGAATGAAAAAAAAATGGAAAAATTTCAAAATCTAAAAATTGTGGGGCTCAAAAATCTAGTCTAGGACGCCCCTTTTATATACTACTAACAGATATTTTGATTTTTGAAGGTACTTTACATGAAGCCTCAAACACATTTTCAAATGTTTTTGAAAAATCGTTCCAGATTTTTTGATTAAATTTTGATGTGTAATAGTGCGAAGGACGTGTAAGAGAATGGTTTAGAATTCATTTTTGTTAACATGCCCGATTTTTCGAAAATTGGGAAAAAAAATGATTTTGAAACTACAAAATAGAAGATAAAGGATTTTGGCTCAGATGAAGTTTGTTGTACATAACTAGTTCTTTTAAAAAGGATATGTATATTTTTTTGGAAATGTTAGTAGTTTTTGCGTAATTTGCACTTGCAATTTATGAATATTTTTCTTCTCAAAAACCGCTCGATATTTTTTCTTTAAATTTTCTGCACGTATGTAATAAGATATGGCAAGAAATATGGTGCTAGTCCCATTTTCGGGTATTGCTCTATTTTTCGAAAATTTGCAAAACAAATTCAAATCTACAAAATTGAAGATATTTTTACCTCTGAAAAAGTTTGTTGTAGAAAATTAGCATTTAAATAAAAAATAAACTAGTGGTGCTATAGAATGGCACAGACGTTCTCACGTATTTAGTTTTCTAACCTTTTTAGTTTGAACTAGGATTTCGGTTGACCGATTCTCTTACCAGCTACCTTCTTTGGACTCCCTAAGGACTATTTTTCCACATTTTCTTAATTATTCGGCCTCCTAATACTAGAACTAAAAACCACCATACTCCTTTTAAATTATATAAGTGTAAAAGTCGTGTACTCCCCGCGTGAGAGGTGGTTAATTAGTGTTTATGGACTCAGCTTTTAGGAGGGGAAGGTCGTTGGTTCGAGTCTTGGTCGGTGAATACTAATTGTCACAATTCTCTGTTGCCGCAGAAAATAATTGAGATTTACAGAAACTTTATTTAAAATCATTTGAAGCATTTATAATTACAAAGAGAATTAAGATAAACTGGAAGTGTGTGTGAATGTGATTTTCGAATTTTCAATTAATAAAAATCACATCTCATATTGGATTTGAAACACGCGTGAACATCAATTGTTAACTTTCGGCGTTTTATGTCTGGCTTGGTGATAATTATTTGTCACAACTCTCTGTTGCTGCAAAAAACTTAAGAAAATGTCGGGAACAATATTGAAAATCATTAGAAACAATTCTAGTCACACAAATCATTTAGATTTTACATAAACTGGATGCGTGTGTGTAATTTTCGTATATTGAAATTTTAAAGAAGTTTACAACTCTTTTGTTCTCATAGTAAAACGAACAATACCGCTTTAACGCATGGGTGAACCCCGCGGCCGTTGTCTCTTAGGAGGGCCTTAAATTTTAAAAACAAACACTGCGTTCAATAATTCTACATTGTATTCATTTATTGGTAAAATATCAAATTGACTGCTTCATTGTAACTAGTTCAAACGAGCATACCCGTGCGAGAACCCTCGCTTGTTCTTACGTTCCCCAGCAAAAAAGAACGAACTTATTGTAATCACACATTCTTAATTTATGAAATATCGAATTCACGAAGCTAGGGACAAATATAATGTAATAATAGAATAATAATATTAAATATACTTAATATTATTAACTCAATCATGTGACACTTTTAACCCCAGTGACACTTTTGACACATGTAACTCTTGACACGACACAAATGTTACTTTTGTCCCAAATGGCACTTTTGACTCACGTGTCACTTTTCACCTTAGTTACACTTTGACCTGTAAAAATTTTGACCCCTAGAGTCGCTTTTGACCCCTAGTGTCACTTTTCACCCAGATGACACTTTATTTCCAGTGACACTTTTGATCGCAGTCATCCGTTTCATCCCAGTCATCGTTTGACTCCTGTGATACTATTAACCCCTGTAACACTTTTGACCACAGTGATGCGTTTGACCCCTCACAAACTTTAGACTGTAGCACTTTTGACCTCTGCAAAACTTTTGACCCCTTATGTCACTTAAAGAACACAGCTTTTCTACCGTTCACACTTTAAAAAGGTATTTGTCTTCGAAAATATCAATGATCCAATTCTCTATCTTTCACGCGTGAAAACATTTTCAATATTAACGTGGATATCTTGGGTTTTGTGTGTACTTTTTGAAGCAATAAGAATATTGTTGTTTCTATTCATTTCAAGATTAACACAGAAATAGTTATTTACGTTTTGAAAATTCCAAAAAATCTAATTCTGCTAACGTGAAAATATTTTCCATCATAGAGATGAATCATTAAATTCTGTTTGTATAATACTGGTTTAGAACACAATTTTGGTAGTATATATTAGTTTAAAGATAAATAATACAGATTTTCTATCATTGAAAAATATCATTTGAAACACTTGTTTGCCTTCGGAAATATTACCAAATATCATTTTCTCCCTCGTTCACACATGAAAAAATTTTCTCCAGTAAAGAGGATTTCTAAAAATTTTTATAGAGAATATTTATATTTCATGGTATTTCTGATGGAATATAGCTATTTATGTGGAGTCTTTAACTTTAAAATAAAACTTACAAAATTTCAATTGTTCTGAA